GCACATTCACACTCTTAGCACATTTTTAAGCGTTGGTCCTGCGACACACCAAGTTTTTGCCAACGGCTATATTCCCAACGACTATATTCCAACGACTATATTTTCAATGGCTATATAAACCACTAATTTACTCTTTTGTAATTGTTCAAGTCCATTTTCTCTTCCTTCATTCCTCAAGTCCATTTTTCTCTTCTTTGATTCCTCTACCATTTTTTCTCTTCTTTGAATTCTCAACTTCTTTATAAGAAAAAAAAAAAAATTAGCATCATCATCACAATCTTTTCAAATCTCTGAATCTGATTTTTCAGAAAATTCGTCAGATTCTGATCGGGAGACGGTTTATCAATTCCATCATAAAAGGATCAAAACGATTCTAGGTATTTTTACGCCGGAGAATCTAAAAGCATTATTTAAACCAAAGAAGAGACAATATATTAAGCGTGATCGGGAGGATGCAGCACAACAACTCTGGAAATATTACTTTGCCAAAAATCTTGTGTTTCCACCTAAATAATTTCATAAACGGTTCCAGATGCGACGACAGTTGTTTATTCACATTTTGAACGATATTACAACTCATGACAACTTTTTCGAACAAAAGCCCGATGCTACTGGTCGTATGGGGTGCACCCCTATACAGAAGATGACAGCAACAATAAGTATACTCGCCTATGGAATTTTAGCGGATCTTTGTGATCAGTACATAAAGGTTGGAGAACGCACTGCAATCAAAAGCTTGAAGAGATTTTGTGATGCTGTAATTGCATTGTATACGGAGCAGTACCTACGCTCGCCAAATAAAAGCGACATTGCACGTTTACTTCAAGAAAGGGAAGAAAGAGGATTCCCAGGTATGTTTGGCTCAATAGATTGTATGCATTGGTAATGGAAGAATTGCCTTAAAGGGTGGCATGGCACACACAAAGGGAGAGGCCTCATATTGGAGGCGGTTACATTAAAAAATTTATGGATCTTGCATGTTTTCTTTGGTATGGTGGTTGGTTCACACAATGACGTAAATGTCTTAGATCATTCCCCAGTATTCAATCATATCATTAATGATACAATGCCTCCAGTTAATTACGAGACGAATGGATATCACCGTACGTTGGGGTATTACCTACCTAAGTGGGCAACTTTGATGCAAACCATCCCACACCCAACTACTGAAAAAGATAAATTGTTTGCTCAAAGACAAGAAACCGTTAGGAAGGATGTTGAATGAGCATTTGGTGTGTTGTAGATAAGGTAAGCTATAACGTATGAACCAGTATATTATTGGAAGAAAGAAGACATGAGCAAGATAATAAGAACGTGTATTATAGTGTACAATATGATCATAGAAGACGAGGGCAACACTAACATTTTAGAATGGACACCTCTAACAGATGAGCCAGTCTACCTTCCACAATACAATCGAGACTGATCATTTTTTGCAGCACACATCTCCACTCGTCTCAACAGGATTCGCAATGCATAAAACAATGAAGATCTCAGGAGAGATCTCATGGAGCATTTGTGGAACAAACTTGGCAATGAAGAAGTTTAACGATAATATTGAGTAAAATGTATTTCTTCATATTGTATGTTTGTGATGAATAAAATATTATTTTTAATTTTTTTTTGTTATATATTTGTTGACAAATTTTAAAGAAAAAAATTTCAAAAGACAGAGAAATAGAAATCATACATATTTATTTGAAAAAATAAAAAATAAAATAATCAAAATCATAAATATTTTTGTTACAATAAAATTAAATTACATATAAAAGGAAATAGTACAAAAAAAAAAAAAAAAAAAAAAAAAAATTAATATATTTGTTGACAAAATTTTTTTTTAAAAAAAAAAAACAAAAGACAAAGAAATAGAAATCATACATATTTATTTGACAATAAAAAAATAAAATAAAATAAAATAATCAAAATCATAAATCATAAATATTTTTTTTACAATAAAAATAAATTACATATAAAAAAAATAGTAAAGAAAAAAACCAAAAGAAAAAAAGCCGTTGCAGTTGTAGGGCCCAGTCATGTCTATGGCTACGGGTTTTGCGATTCTTTGTCTGAGACTCACCAATTGCTAGCCGCATAGCATGCAACACAATAGCAATGCTGAATTCTTAACTAGTAATAGAGTCATTACACCGATTACTTTTATTGATTACTCGGTATTTACTAAACCTCTCTCAAAATAGAGAATATAAAATATAAAAAGAAAAAAGATTGCTTGTTTTCTAGGGTTTGTTGTTGACTAGTTTATCCCAATCTTCGTCTATTCTATTTAATGTTTTAAAATTATTGATTCCACTTTTCGAAAGATACCAAATCAGGCCCTTAATGCTGTTTTGAATGGAAAATTGGTCCAATGTGCATTTAAGTGTGAATATGATCCATATATATATATATATATATATATATATATATATATATGTATGTCGTGTACCCCTATCAAATTCTATGTTTGTCTTAATCTCGCCCTGTTAGTTATTGATTAATTGTACTTCTTTATCAGGGATTGCTACAGAGGAAACTAAGGCGGATTAGTACTATGAAAACAGTATTCTATTTCCATAGTTGTAAAAAACTGAAAACTCTTAAATTGGTCTACTTAATTCTGTATTTTAAAAACTGTTTTTCTGATAACTGAGTTAAATGAGTTCAGATTTTTGGAGAACAACTTTGGGCTGTTTTCTTAATTTTTTAAAACCTATTCTCAGTTGCGGGAAAACACAAAAGAACAAAGTTCACTTAAAAAAACTACGGAACCCTTCTCGTTTATAACCTCAACCGTACAAGCCCTCCTTACAATCTCTCTCCAAGCGTTTTCTCTCAGATTTCTTGGTTACAGTCTCTCTTCAACCCCTCTTTCAGTTTATTGAAGCTCGTCTAAGGATGGTCGATCTGCGCTTCTCTGCCTACAGTTGTCTCTCTCTTCGTTCGGGTAAAACTCTCTCTCTCAGATTCATTTATATTTTGTGGTTCTTAACACTTCCGATTTGGGTTAAGGGTTGATGTTTTTCTTTGTTTATGTTGGATTTTCTGTGGTTGTTTACACTTTCGATTTTATGTGCTTTGGTTGAGGGTTGATTATTTGCCCTGTTGGAATTGGTTGCGTTGGGTTGAGGTTTGATTATCTGCTTTGGTTTTTAACACTTCCGATTTGGTTTGATTGTCTACAATTTGAGTTGTTTCTAATCTTATTTAATTAGGGTTAGATAACAAACTACACTAAAAACCCATTAAGGATTTGGGTTCTCTGTTGAAGCTGCATGTGAATTGGGTATTTTTCTTTTTGTACTTTTTTTAATTAATTTGCATCGTTAATTGGCTTTTGATTTCCAGTGTTTGTTATTTTCTATTTGTTCAATCTTGGACTCAAAGTTCATTTTTTTTTCCCGTTTATTTGGTGAGCAATTTTTTTACATAGTTGTTGTGGTCCTCTTGTTATTCTAGAGAATGATGAAACTTATACTAGTGTTTTGTTCTACACCACTATTTAAATGACAAATTTGGTTAGATCCCATTTTGTTTAGTATTTTGGAAAATTGATTCTAAATATCTGAATTCATTATAGAGAGCGTCACTTTTTTTTGGTTGAGTTTGTTAGCTAAGGTTGTATTTTGATATTTTCCATTCTAAGGGTCACATGAAGAAGTTCAAATCTCTAATGGCTCTTTTGGCCTATATATATACACCTCTTGCTGTAGCATTCTAACTGTTACTTTTTCTTGAGTTTTGTTAGTATCTTTGAAAGAGAATCAGTAGAAGAAAAGAGAGAGAATTTGAAAATAAAGAGACCCCATTGTTGCCTTGCTTCAAGAATTTCTTAAGACTTGAAAGATCAAACCCACTCTCGTAAACCTGAAGCTTGAATAGATTGGTTGTTGGTGCTCCATTTGTGAAGATCAAAGGCAACATTGATTTACACTCAAATCATGATTGAGAGATTAGATGATACCATTAGCTGCTGGAACATTCTTTGAGAAATTATGTAGCATCTGAGCAAACGATCAAAAAGAAGGAACAACATACATAATCTAGAGAAGAATTTTCAAGTCAAAAGTCTTTCTGCAATTGTCTCATTCTCAGGATCTCATTTCAACATTCTTCTACTTGAGAGTATCCTCACAAGAATCACTCACTTGATTTCAAAAGCATGTACATTAATTAGAGCTCTATTCATTGTGTATGTGATCTAAATTGAATTATCCTCTTAGACCTTTTATCTTGCTAGTTTGGGTTGTGGTGTGAGAGATATTGTAAACAGGGTGAGTTTGTTCTTGGTGAACTAATTGTGTATATAAGGGAAGTGATCAGTGAACTGTTAGGAGTGGTGATTAGTGAGTGTGTGAGAGTGGTGAAAACAACTGTATTAATCATTATTGCATTAGTAAACTTGAAAAAAAAAAACTTTATTGTATTAATAGTTAACATCATAAATTAAGGAAATAAAAGAGCGAGGTGCAAGCAATTTTACAACTAAAACTCATAAAACTTCTATTGGGTTAAGATCAATTTAGTTCAGAAAATTATTTTCAGTAGATATTACCAAGCAGTTTTATGAATTTTTATTCTCCAAAAATTGTTTTGTAATTTTTCCAACCAAACAGGTTGAAAACCTAAAAAAATTGAAAACTGTTTTCTGTTCTGATTCTTTGAAAACTGTTCTTGAAAATTGTTTTCGTAATTACAATCCAAACGAGGCCTAACATTTCAATCTTTAATTTTTTATTTATGAAGTTATCTTAAGTTTCAATAACATGCATAAGACAACCACACACTGACGTGTGAAAATTTACTACATAGTTTATCAAAATCAATATATATATATATATATATAAGAGAGTTGAAAAGAGTTCACCACCCCTCTTTAGTAGCTTTGGACCAGTGAAGGAGTCTGAAATTATTCGAGGGAATGGGCTTGAACAATAATAAGATTTAAAACCGATAATAGCTTAGTTGGTACAATTGAAGCTATTTTTTTGAGATTAGATAAGTTAGTGAACTTTTGCTTGATTGTTTTCTAGCAGAAGAGCTATAACTAGTAGAGTACAAAATTTACATATGCCCAATGAAGGGAATTCATATATATTCCTATGCTGATTCTGGCAAAAAGAAAAAAGAAAAAAAGGGCAAACTCTTCTAACTAAAACTTTGAAGTACAGCAAATACTTTAATCATCATATAGCAACCTAGAATGTCACACACTGGAGACCAAACTATCATCGTCATCATCATCTCCATCTGATACCCTTTTACGCCTATAACTGGCGAGATACTTGGCAGTGCCGAGGAGGGGGGCAACGTCGTACTCCTTCCCGGCCTTCTTCCCTCCGTCGCCCTCCAGAGGACTGCACCGACGAAGAATCTGCAAAACCTCTTTCATGGAAGGCCTAGAGGAGGGTAATGTGGACGTGCATATGAGCCCTAGTCTGAACATTGTTGACATTTCTTCCAAGTAACATGGTTCCTTGATCTCCTCATCCAATGCATCAGCAACAGAGTTCCCTTCTCCGTGGTGTCGCCATGCCCATTCTGCAAGGCTTATGTGCTCATCTCCGTCATTTGCTTCTCTTCCCGTTGTCAATTCCAAAAGCACAACTCCAAAGCTGTAAACGTCGATCTTCTCATTCACTTTCGTCGTATAAGCATACTCTGTGATCAAGATACAATATAGTTTAGCACCCCATTAACCGAATTCTGATTCAAGAGTAAGTGAAAAAGGAAGAGAGGAGTGTTATAGTGTTGGGCTTTTACCTGGGGCAATATAACCAAATGAGCCAGCAACACCAGACATTGTGTTAGGCTCACCATGCCTGCTGAGTAAAATCTTGGCTAGGCCGAAATCAGCAATTCTTGCATTGAACTCGGAATCCAGCAATATGTTGCTAGACTTCACGTCGCGATGAATGATGGGTGGAGAGCAATCATGGTGCATGTAGTAGAGGCCTTGTGCAGCTCCAATGGCAATCTGCAACCTCCTCGGCCAACCCAAGACAACGTTTTGAGCCGGACCATTCACTAATGATTCCCTCTTCTTCTTCCCATGAAGCCATCTATCAAGACTCATATTCTCCATGTACTCGTAGACAAGTAGCTTCGAATCCTCACTTGCAATGCAGCACAACAGCTTCACTATATTGGAATGTCGAATGCTACCCAAAATCTGAACCTCAGCCAAAAATTCATTCTCCAGGTGGTGGTCCAATTTTCTGCTGTTCCAAATCCTCTTCACTGCAACATGATCACCCAAACCGTTGACAGCAATCCGATACACCTTCCCTGACCCTCCACTTCCAACCAAATTATTTTCTGTCAAACTGGACAGAACGTTTGCCTCTGTGAAATCCAACCTCTGAAATGAGGTCAGCTTCCATGTCGCGGTTTCACATCTCTTCTTCTTCCTCCTGTAGTCTCTTGTTACAAACAAAATCAATAAAACAGTAACTATGCAAACCAGTACCACGAAAACTACGATCATAGTAACACTCCTCCTCGATAACTTGTTGGATTCACTGCTTCTGGTGAAACAACTGGGGACGTTTGAAATTGGGTTTCTGGCACAAAGATTGGTGTTGTTCAAGAAACTGTTTTCATAGGCCATATTATCAAACTCATTTGGGATTTGCCCAGTGAGTTGGTTGGAGGATAAATTGAGAGAAGTAAGCTTCAAATGGCCTAATTCAGGTGGAATAGGACCCGAAAACTGGTTGGAGGACAAGTCTAGTTCAAGAATGTCCGGCAATGATCCTATCAATGCTGGAATTTGGCCATGAAGTTTGTTCCTAGCAAGATTCAGATTGGTTAGTGACTTCCATGACAAAATCTCCGATGGAAATTCACCGGTCAGTTGATTGCCATCGAGCAATAGAGTGGTGAGCTGAGGAAGGCCGGTCAATTCCACTGGAATTTCGCCAGAAAATTGATTGTTGCTGGCTTTAAAAACAACCAATCTCAACCAAGAAGAAACCCCAACTGGGATTTGACCAGAAAAATTGTTGTTACTGATCTCCAACCTCGACATGTTCCCAGATAATTTGCTCGGAAGCTCACCGGAAAATGAGTTGTCACTCAGCATCATCTGGGATAAATTCAATGAAGTCCAGAGACCCGAAGGAACCTCGCCGGAAAAGTTGTTGCTGTAGAGCTGGACCGTGCGCAGAGTATCGCAATTTGCAAGCAATTTTGGAATTTCTCCGGTGAGATTGTTGGAGAAAGCGACCACGCCGGTCAGAGCCCCTCCGGCACATAGATTCTCCGGTAATTTCCCGGTGAGTTCGTTATCTGAAACCTCGAAAGCTTCGAGATTCGAGTGAAGCCCTAATTCAGGTGGCAAAACTCCACTCAAATTGTTAGTAAAAACCCTAAAAATTTTGAGATTTGGTACTAGGGCAATGCTTGGTGGAATTTCGCCAGACAATTGATTCGAATACAGATTCAAAATGGTTACGTTTTGTAATTTTCCAAAACCCTCAGGTATCGAACCTGTCAAATTGTTCATCGCGATATCGATTTCGATCAAATTAAACGACTCAATCGATGAAGGAATTTCACCTGATAATCGATTCTTGAATAGATATACATAACTCAAATTCTTCAACGAGAACAATCCCCGAGGAATCGCACCGTGTAAATTGTTCGACGAGAGATCCAAGTGTTCGAGACTTGAGAAATTAGAGAAACTTTCCGGCACTTCTCCGATCAAATTCGTCTCCGTCATCCACAGATACTTCAACTTCTTTAAATTTCCGAACTCCAGTGGAATCGCCGACGGCACGAAGTTGTTATACGCCATGCCTAGATACTCAAGATTCGACAAATTTCCGATTTCTACCGGAAAAGTGCCGGTGCCGTTGAAATCATTTTGGTAGAAATACAACCTCTGTAACTCTGGTAACCGGCCGATAGCAGGCGGGATATTTCCGGAGAAGCTGTTGGCGCCAATATCGAGGAACCGGAGAGTTGAAATCCGGTCGATGTCAGCCGGAATCGTGCCGGCGAAGTAGTTCTGAGAGAGGTCTAAGTATTGGAGATTCGAGCAATTGTATAGAACGGTTGGGAACTCTCCGGGGATATAATTCAAGCCGAGGTCGATCGCGGTAAGGTTTTTGAGGTCGCATATCGTCGCCGGGATTTCTTTGGTGATATTATATTCCCGGAGAATAATTCCGGTGACGGTGCCATTGGTGCACAGAATCTCCGGCCAATCGCACGGCGAGGATGAGTCATTCCACGATTGGATCAACGGTGGATCGCCCCACTGTTGCTTGAGTTTCAGTAGGACATCCCGTTCTGTGGCCGGAGATTGTGAATTTACCTGGAAGGGTATGATGAGGAGGAAGAAGAAAAGGAAGGGTGAGGGTATTTTCAACATTTGACTACGTTTGAGTGTGTTGCTCCGAGTGGTGTGTTTTGGATTTTTCTTGGATTTTACCCGGGAAATATTGGAGAAACTAACGGTTGTTTTTCAAACTTGGTGAGCTCTGAGTTTTCATCCTACTGATAGATTTTAATTTTATAGTGTGGACACAGAGGGCATTTAATTACGTAAATGCCACATGATGTGATCTTAACCTGCGGAGAGTTTTGGTTTTACACGGGATTGGCTAAAATAAAATTTTCAGGTGGGTCCAGCACTCGTGATGCTTGAGCTGGGAGGGAAATAATCTGACCTCATTCCACGGCTCTGTTTGGTTTTGACTGAAAAGTGAAACAAATAGGAAGTTGAAGTGGAGTGAGGAAAAGTTTTTCTACTGCGTATTTAGAACGAAAATTTTATAAGAAAAGTTGTCGATTAATTCCGTTTAACGGTTTGGCTAAGCACGAAAGTTGTGTGTGTGCGCGCGAGTGTGCGTGTGTGTCTAACGAATAATTTGGTTTAAGTTTTTATTAAAGAACTCCTTTCATAAAAATTCTCCTTTTTTTTTTTTTTTAATTCAAAATTTGAAAATACTTTATTTCAAAATTCACATAAGGCTCATGAACAAGTTCACAAACATAGAATTGTATTTCATGAATATAAGCTCAAACTTGATTAAGCACACTTAAGTTCATGAATTAAGCAAATCGAATTTGAACACGACATTAAATCAATCGAATTCGAACGACTTTCGTAGTTAAACAAGTCGAACTCAAGCTTTTCAATATAATAATGAGCTAAGTTCGAGCTTATCACGATTCTGAACCAAATTCGAACTGAGCTCACAAATGAACGAGCCCAACCCAATTGAGTCCGAACAGACTCAAGCTCGATTTGGTTCATTTATAGTCCTATCAACAACACCATTGTTGACACGCACCAAAAAAAAAAAATTCTTTTCACTATTTTTTTCTAACCAAACAAAGTAATAATAAATTATAAGAAGAATGCATATAGATAAGAGGCGTTAGAGCAAATTAGTTGTTCTAAAACTACAATTCTACAATTTTATTTATCAAAAGAGGCAAGTACTTCGTAATAAATAAAAATTCACAATATTACCTCTAGCAAAACTAGTACATTTAAACTCTCATTTGAAGGAGAGATCATACCATTTAAATCAATACTCATCAGTATAATTATGCAAATTTGAAGTAGAGTAAGAATAGGTTGTTTCAACATTGCATGAAACTCGAATATAAAAGTAGAGCGTAGTCCGCTTATAAAAGTAAGATATAAATATATTAAGGGATATGAAGTTTTTCAAGATAGATATTTTTTTATTTTTTATTTTTTATGAAGTAATAATTTGATAAATTGAAAATAATAAAAGATCTATTGTTATTAAATTTACCATTTACCAAAAGAAAAAGAAATTTATGTAAAATCATATAATTAAGCTGGATTATTTATTGGATAAAAAACTTGTGGATAAACTTCTTGATTCAAGTGGGTAAGTCTTGTGTCTGACTTGTCCAAATATTATATACATACACACACAAATTATATTATATAAATGTCCATATATTATATACATACACACACAAATTATATTATATAAAGTGGCGTAGTCAAGAATTTCCTTCTGTAGGGGCAATTTTTAATAGCAATAATATATATAATTTGAACCAAAATAATATATGTAAAAATTAAAACATTGATTCTACTATTTTTATTTAGTACATTCACAACTACCCTTCACGATTTTTCATATCCTGAAAATGTTGAATAATAATATCATTGTCAACAATACTAAATATGTCTCTCTCAATATACACAACCATCATATCATTCATCTATTGATTTTCCATTCGATTGCACACTCGAGTTTTTAAAATATTCATGGCATAGTAATAGTAAATTTAGATGATGATAAAAAAATATATATATCAAATTACCTGACTCTGCACTGCAGCATTTGTTCGGATTTTGTGAATTTTTGAAATGTTGAAGACTCACCCAAAGAAAAATGTTGAAGACTGAAAATGTGATGGAAACAACGCATTTGTTTGTGATAAAATTAAAAGTGTGAAATAATATTTTGTATTTATGAGGAAAGTGAAAAAGAATATAATATTTTGAGAAAGTAGAAAAAAAATATCATATTTTTTGAAAAGATTATATATATATATATTTTTGGTGTAGTACCGTGAATGATCATTTGATTATATATATATATATATATATAAGTGCACTATTAAATTGTAACGGGAAGAATTATACAAATATAAAAAAAAAATTATATAAAACTAAAAATAAAAAATAAAAAATTCAGTGAAATCAGTTGCCCTCACCTGTCCCTCCGGCTACGCGACTATTTTATTCATTATCTTCTAGAAGTCATAAAGCAAACGAGCAACAACCAGCACTTCTTTATAATTTTGTGTTCTTTATATTTGATATAAATCAGTTGGATATGGCAAAAAAAAAAAAAAAAAAAAAAAAAAATAGTCAAAAGACATGGACACATAGATTTAAAATAAGAAATTTATACGACAATCTCATTTTTGGTTTGTTGTGGGACCATTCTTCTAGAAGACAATCTCATAATTAGGCTCGTGCTTTTAAGAACACAAAGATTGTGTAGTATTAAAATGACTTGTCTATGGTTAGTTGCCTAGCAAAACCAAACCAAAAAATAAATAAAAATAAAAAGATAGGAAGAACTTTCAACTTTCAAAAAGTCCGTCAATTTGGTAACCATCACCGAAAAAGCTTTCATGAGTATTTTTGTCGTTAGTAGGCTTCGCGAAGGACGAATTTTTTTAATTTACACACATATATATATGTATATATATATTTAAAGACTAATTAAAAAAAAAAAAAAAAAAAAAAGAGAGAGATTTGGGATTATAACTCAATGCATTTGACGATTACAAACACTCTTTAAGTCATTATTTTTGTTTTTAGTATAGTTTATATTTAAGGAAAAATTACATATAAATGGAATTAAAGTTCCATATTTACTTAGAGGCTGAGTCAAAGTTCTATATTTCTCTAAAATGGATTGCTGAGGTGGCACATGGTTTTTTACTGTTTAGAAATTGTGATGCCTAAAATACCCTTCCGCGAAGGTACTACTTTTTCTTCAAAGGTACTACTTTTTTGAACTGAAGGTACTACTTTTTGGCGTTCAGGTACCATGTTTTTTAAACACTCGCGAAGGTACTACTTTTTCTCCGAAGGTACTAATTTTTTGAATTGAAGGTACTACTTTTTTGAACTGAAGGTACTATTTTTTTATTAGGGAAGGGCATTTTAAACACCACAATTTTTTAAACAGTAAAAAACCATGTGCCACCTCAGCAATCCATTTTAGAGAAATATGGAACTTTGACTCAGTCTCTAAGTAAATATGAAACTTTGACTCCATTTATATGTAATTTTCCCTATATTTAAATCTATTTCAATTCATGGTGTTATGCTTGGGAAAATCAAATTTGTTTTTTGGATTTAAAATTTGAAAAAAAATAATTAAAATTTTGAACTAAATTTCTTTCTATTTTAAATTTAAAGTGTCAATTTGGTATTACAAAATGTAATGTTAGTTTTAATTACTGTAATGTTAGTTTTAATTACGTAAATCTTGAAATTGGTGACATTAATAGATTAATGGTCCATTGGAATTAGAGATGGCAATGGGGCGGTTTTAAGCGAGTGTATCCTCCCCACCCCGCGACCGTTTGGAAATCCTCACCCCGCCCCATCCAAAATAGCCTAAACGGGGGTATTTCTGCCCCATCCCCGCTCGGTTTAACTTTTTTACTTCCGCGGGCACATGTCCCGCCCTGTTTAGTTCTAGAATTTCTTCTCCTTTTAATTTTTTTATCTACGAATACAATTATATAATTACTGAAGAAATTCATAAAAATGGACAATAAATAATTTAACATAAAATTCAAGAGTATAGAAGTTCTTAGTTCGTAGGCTCTACTAATCTCTAAAGCGACTAGGAAAGTGAGTGAATTGATCTAGGGTTTCTAGAACTAACTATATATATTAATAAATTAAGGATGATTTAATAAATTACCTAAATGGGGGCGGGGCGGGGACTCGCGCAGGTTTTCACTAATAAAAATTATCTCCGCCCAAATAAAGTAAATGGTCTTCCAAAACCGTTATAAACGAGGTGAAGTGAAGTGAAGCGGGGCGGGGCCCTCAATTGCAATGGAGGGGACGGAGGAGAGATTGGAAGAAAAACATTAATAGAATGATGAAATGAAAAGAGAAGAGAAAACAAAAGTTATAGAAAGGGAGGGGTTTTTAATCCCTGACAAACTCAACCTAAAATTCTTATAAATAACTTCATGTGACAACCATAAACACAATTTTATTAATATAATTGATTTATTAATGTTGAAAGAATTATATAAACACGTAAGAAAGTTTGAGACAATTAATCAGCTTATATAATTCTTATGATATATGAATCAATAATTAATGAAAATTATGCGTGATTTTAAAACTGTCATTTAAAATGAATTAGAGGGTTATTTGAGAAGTTAATTGAAAGTGTATCATTTTTTGTAAAGAAAATAAAATATAAAAAAATAGGAGCATAGTTTTGAAAAAGTTGTGTTCTTACTAAAAGGAACGAGCCAATGAGTGTGATTCATTAATTCACAATTTGGTAATTGTGGTTCGTTTTTTACTTCTTTATAATGCCAATTATGCTCCACTTAAAAATAATTTTTTTCTAGGGATGTAAATGAGCCATATGAGCGTGATCCAGTGAGTGAATATCGAATTGTTGTATATATTATTCGTTTTGCATGTTTTTTAATATTTGCGTCATGTTTATATAATTGGGACACGTATAAATTTAAATAACTTCTCCAAATAATAGAAGACGTCACACTCTTTGATCTATCCCTCTCAACATATATATTTAATTTATTTTTATTTTTATTTTATTTATTATTATTATTATTATTATTTGGTTGGCACCAAAAACTCCCCTAAGTAGGGTCCCTTCGGACCACCCTAGGCTACAAACCTGAGAATTATTTGACAAATAACTATATATCCTCTACAAATTTACTCCTGTGATGT